GAAAACTTCCCCCGCTTAATGGAAATGCAAATTTTTTTAAAAAACTGGTTAACAAAAGCAGAGTGAGAAAGAGCCCCTCTAACCAGTCAGCCAATGAAAATCCAAAAACATAATCAAAACCATTTTTTGCACTACTAGATTTAAAAAAGCAACTTTATAACCTATATATTTGTTTTAATCAGTAGGTAACTGATTGTCACAGATCTCCCCCGTAGCCAACTTACCCTCCGTCGTGAAAACTTCCCCCCGCTTCCTCTCGTGAAAACTTCCCCCCGCTTCCTCTCGGCTCCGCCGGCTGTCCCTGAGTTCCTGAGGACCAAATATGCTCCTCGCGCCTCGTCTCCCAGCGACCTTGTCCCTGGGAGACGAGGCCCGAGGAGTGGTTTTGGCTCCAGTGAGGCCGGGGAGGGGATATTTAAAGAGATCTGCCCGGTGGCGGCGGCGCCCCCCCCCCTGCGAAAACGCTTCCTCTCGGCTCCGCCGGCTTCCCCACCAAAAGTTCGCATAGAAATAAACGAAACTATCACTGTAATTTTATTTTCCTCACTATGCAGTCATTTTTGGTATCTTCTTCTATAACCAATCAGCAGTCCCTTTCCAAAAGCTGTGGATAGAAGACCCCAGCCGCTTCCTTTCCTTCCGGTCACGCCCTGCTTAAGCTAGCGCAGGCGGCGCAACTTCCCTCAACTGCGCTCCGATGAAAAGGGAGGGGGGAGAGAGAGAGAGAGAAAGCCGCCGAAACCTATTGGCTCCCTTTCAACACCGAGTGTGGGTGGAGCTCTGGACTCACGTGGACCGAGACAGGACCAATCGGGTGATCGCGTGATGCGAGTCTCTCCGGCCGCCGCTGTGGCTGGTGGGTTGTTGTTCTCCCTCCCCTTTGTCAAGATGGCGGCGCCGGCGGGTGCCTGAGAGGAGCTGTTGCTACGAGCAGGAAGCGACGCCCCGGTTGCTGCCGGGAAAGGCTTTCCTGTGCTTCCTTCCCCCCCACGGCCTTTTAGAAGTATGTTAAAATGACCCAAGCTGGGAAGAAGAAGAAAAGGGCTGCCAACCGCAGCATCCTGCTGGCCAAGAAGATTATCATTAAGGATGGGGGCACGGTGAGCGGCCTGTGGCAAGGAGCGGGGCGGGGGGAGGGAGAGGAAGCGGCGATAGGCTGGGAATCTTTGGCAGGTGTTTGTTAAGGGGGAAAGGAGGGGAGACTTGTCGGCATGTTCACGTCCCTGGACGCTTACTTCGCAAATTCCGGACACTTTGGATTGTCATGAGTTTCTCCAGATGTTCCCGGTTCCCAGCGACAGCCCCTCTCTCTTGCTAAGTTGTCTCTGGGAAGCCGTTGTGCCTGTTTTATTCCTTGCCTGCCTTTTAAAAATATTTCGTTGCCATGTGTACCAGCTTTTTCTTCTACATACCCGTCTCACAGCTGCCTGTCCAGATGGCATAGTGTGCACTTCATCTTCCAGAGCTGTCGCGAGGTTAAATGTTCTGTAAAATGAACTCTTCAGGGAATTTTTTTAAGAAGTGAAGCTATTAACAGTCAGCCAGCACATTAGATATTTAGAGAGTGTAGGACACGCATGTTGGAGAGGTAGTGAATACAGTAGGAGAGCAATTGGGCAGTGTGCAATGGGGTGGTGATGGAAGTAGGTGATGGAAAATAGGTGTCTGACAAGTATAGAGGTGCATCCCTGTTTTCATCTGTGAAATGTTTGCAGCTGTGCACTAATCTGTGTTTACCTGTTGTGTGGGTCGCAATTAAAATTCCAAGAGAGTTGTAAATTTTTGAGTGTGCTGAGATTTCTATGCTGCAGATCCTTTGAACAATAACTGGCTTTCCTGGAGGGTTGTTTCAAAAAGGGTTTGAGGTGAAGGAACACTGCAACATCTTGCAACACCCCAAAGTGGCCTGTAAGTGCATTCTGATGCACATAGCCCTGTTTCTTTTTTGTCTCCAGATTAGTTGGAGGGGGGAGGCAGGACAACTTCACTCTTTTGGGAAAGTGAAGTTTTGTTTGGTCCCCAGAACCTCCATTTGCTGAACCTTATCTTCGTACCTTCATAAAAGTGTTTCTGTAGTGTGGTGGAAGCACAAGTTGAAGTTATGGCTGCTACCCCTGATCAGCACGAGTTGAAGTTGCTACCTGCAGTCAGCAAAAGCACAACATAGATTTTCAGATAATTATTTGTAGCTGCCAGAGGTTTTGCCACCATCCACCACTATTTGTTTATTTTAAAGCTGTATATCCTGCCTTTCTACCATTTAATTCATCAGGGCAGCTTGCAACAATGTTGTTTCCAGGCCTTACATTAGTGAATGTACATATGATCTGTCACTACAGAACAAGAACAAACTAATAACTCCCTTGTGCCATGTATGATTTCTCCACCAGGAGGCCAATAATCTGTCATATTTCCTCAAACGAAGTTCTTTGGTGCTCCTTTTCAAGCAATTGGGGCAAAGAGCAAGTTCTCCCTGGAAGCACCTGTCCACTGTGAACTACTGCCAATTGAAGAACAGATAAGGGGTCAGGACACTGGGACAGCAGCGCTTGCTGCATGGTCATGTGGCTTGATCATAGTTAGAATCCTCACAGGCTAGATGAAGAAGGGTGCTTGATGAAATTGCTCTTCTCCCTTTATGATCTCACTGGCATTTCAGGCTTCGGTGGTGGTAATGACTGGGCCTTCCCTGGAAGCACCTAACTAGATAAATCCAGAAACAGCGCCAAGAACAATATACATGTGAGGAGAGTGGGTCAGGGATGTTTCAACCCCCACCCCCATATTTCTTCCTGTAGATGTTTGCGTAGTTGTGAGCCTTCCTAAAAGCCTGTGTGGCTGCTGTTGGAGGACTGTTTAATGCAGCATATTTGTTCTGCATGGGTATAGTTGTATTATAGGAATAAATGTGATCACAATAATTGAACTGCGTTTTTTTTGTTTGTGCATCCATTAGGTATCTGGTGCATTTAATGTACCATTGGTCAGATGCACCAGACATGTTCTTTAAAGTGTTATTGTGTTACTTTAAATGCAGCAGCTCTCCACCTGTTGTTTGTTACATACTGAAGGGCTTGAGCAAAGTTAATGTTGATGGCCAAGAGTACAGCATGACTCTCTGGCACTCAGTTTGAATCTGTATTCATTTTCTTGCTCAGTTCAAAGGTGCTTCAGATTTAATTAACTGCATTTGCCATGGTCACACCAATTTTTTTATCAAAAATGTTTTGTGTAAAAAGCAGATACATTTTCCTAATAATTGTCAGTTTGATGCATTGCTCATTTTCTGCTGGTGGGAGGGCATTTCTGTTGAGGGTCTGCAGGGGCAAATTTGCCTATTCCCCTTTCCTGTATTATGCCCAGTGCTGTTTTTGGGAATCCCCTAAACCACAAGAGCTGCGTTTTGAGTTTGCTGGTATGGTGGGCTGTAGAAAGAGGGTAAAGTACGGAAGTTCTGTTTTACAGCTGTAGTTCTACACGTGGTACTTTGGCTCCAAGCCGAAGTTGACATGTATTGAACAACTGCAGCCATTCTGAGTTCCCTGATGTGTAACCCTAACTCAATTCCACCCCCCCAGTTGAACCCAAACAGATGATAACCAGAAACCAAGCTTGTCATTCTTTTTATCTGAAACACATCTTCACTATTTTGCATGCTAATTTAACAAGCCGCCCTGTATGATTTGTAATTCATTTCATTGTCTGACAAAGTGTGCATGCACACGAAATCTCACACCTTGAATAAAACTTTTGTTGGTCTTAAAGGTGCCACTGGACTCTAACTTTGTTCTACTACTTCAGACCAACATGGCTGCCCAGTGCCCACCTTGATCCACTTCTATGAACAGTTAGGGTTACACATCAGGGAACTCAGAATGGCTGCAGTTGTTCAATACATGTCAACTTCGGCTTGGAGCCAAAGTACCACGTGTAGAGCTACAGCTGTAAAACAGAACTTCCCTACTTTACCCTCTTGCTACAGCCCACCATACCAGCAAACTCAAAATGCAGCTCTTGGGGTTTAGGGGATTCCCAAAAACAGCACACGAAATCTCACCCATTGAATAAAACTTTGTTGGTCTTAAAGGTGCCACTGGACTCTAACTTTGTTCTGTTCATAGAAGTGTGTGTCTGTGAATCACATTCTGTGTGTACTATGGCAAACACAATTGACCTGAGGTTTGTTGAACCATGCAGTTAAAATAAGTGGTCAGCAATGCCTTTTTTGACCTGTCATCAGGTCTATGCTAACCGTATTGCCATAATTTTCATTTTATTCAGACCCTCTATGTTTGCAGAATGCTGTGCTTAACGTTCCAGAGGAGTAACCACATTAGTCTGTTGCAGCAAGAATAAAGTGGAGTCTAGTGGCTTGTTAAAGACAAAAGATTTTATTCCTGCATAAGCGTTTATAGCTCCAGCTCCCTCAAATACAATGAATAGTTTTTCATTAGACAGGCGTTTTATGCAGGAAGTACTAAAAACAGTAGGTTCAAGGGACCATGACATTCAGAAAGAACAGAGTGAAATGTAATTATGTAAAATTTAAATCAAATGAAGAAAAATGTAGAGGCTATTGGATTAGAGCTGAATTTTACGTAATTACATTTCATGCTGTACTTTCTTCATTTCATGACCCTTTGAACTTGCTGTCTTTTTCTTTCCACGTCTCCCACCTAAAATGCCTGCACACTGAGGACCCACTCATTACATCTGAAGTGTGCTCTAGGCATTAAAACTTATCCTGGAATAAAAACTTGTCTTTAAGGTTCCAATAGAATTGTTAGTGCATAACACTGACAACCATGCTTAAAAGCAGACTGAGCACCTGTGACAACCCCAATGACTTTTACAATCTTGCATGTACAATATTGAAACTAACTACATTTGAAGGGCATCTTGTCTTCCCATGCCACTCTCCAGATACTTTCTAGCTTGACAATGGTAGCTGGTGAGCATCAGACGTAGGGATGTTTGTTTACTTGTATCAGTTTGGACTCTGTGGTAGCCTCTACCTGTGGTAGTTTAAAAATGCTTAGGCAGCCTGTCTGCAAATCAGTCAACACATTTGTCATGTCTCATCCATTGTGTTCATGATACGGTATCTCCTAGATCATAGGTAGTGCGGTCCCTGGGACCAAAGACCATCTGTTAATCTTCATTATTCTTGGCAAGCCAAAGTTGTATAGAGGCTCAGCTTTTCACAAAGACTGGAACCAGTCATATCAACAGAAAGGGAACACTGGCAGTCTGGTCCCGATAGAGTGACCCTGTAGTTGCCCCATTGACTGTTCAGTATCTGTTACTAAATACGCAAAGCACTCAGCACAAGTTTGGCCTCACAGCTTCTTGTAGACTAAATGGAGTAATTTTGGTAAAGGGCTGGTTTCTCGCCCAACAAAAGCATGTACTTGACTGGGTAAGAAATGTATGTATTTTTATGACACCCTTCATCACTAGGGGCTCATGGTAGTCAACAAGGTTTCATTATTGGTTGATAGATTTAAAACATTTATACCCTGCCTTTCCTTGTATTTCAAAGCAGTTTACAATAATAGTTTAAAACATTTTCAGTTAAAAACTGAACTAACAAACCCCCAGATCTCTCCCTCCTTCCTTTTTTTACTAGTTCTTTTCTCCTCCATTTTATCATCACAACAACCCTATGAGAAAGGTTAGACTGAGGGAGCAGCTGAACCAAGGTTATCCAGTGAGCTTCAGTGGTAGAAGTGGGGATCCCACCACTCTGGCCAGTAGACAACACGGGTTCTCCGAAGAAATCAGAAGGAGATTGAGGCTGGGAAGGGCAGCCATGAGGGCGCTAGAAAAGAAGTGTAAGGATGTGTCACTGATGACCAAGATCAAATTGATTCGTGCCATAGTATTCCCCATTACTATGTATGGGTGTGAAGGTTGGACAGTGAGGAAAGCTGACAAGAAGAAAGTAGGGTCCTTTGAAATGTAGTAATGTAGAAAGCCGACAGGAAGAAAGTAGGGTCCTTTGAAATGTAGTGTTGGGGGAGAGTTTTAGGAATGCCATGGGCCGCCAAAAAAACAAATAAGTGAGTTCTAGATCAAATGAAGCCTGAACTCTCCCAGC